TGGTCCTATAGCACATTCTGTGCTGGTGAAATGTTCTAGAACTGTGCTGTCCCATAGCACGTTCTGTGACGGCGGAATGTTCCAGAATTGCATGGTCCTATGTGGCAGCTCTTGGGTACGCACGGCCATTGCGCACTTGAAATGTGGTCAGGGCAATTGACGTATTGAATTTTAATTGCACATAATTTTAATTACTCAATTTCAAATGCCACACGCGACCGGCCAGTGGCCACCGCGTTGGACAGCGCAGCTCTCTCCCTTGATCTGTACGCATATATTACTTGGCTGGCCACTTGAGGGCTGGGGTTTCTGAGGCCCTGCAGACGGGACATGAGGCCACCTGGGGTGTCAACGCCAGCACTTGCGGAAATCAGTGAAGCAAGGTGGGAGATTGGAACCCGCCACCCCCCTACCCCACCCCCACCCCCTGGTACACACGGTCCTCTCCTTGTATCCTTCCTTAGCTGCCGAGGGCCTCACAAAACTCACTGCCACCAGGTGACCAGCCACCAAGGGAAGGTGGCTCTGTGTCCTGATCAGGACACAGCTCGTTCATTTTCAACAAAAATGACTAAAATAGACATGTTTTGACCCTTTAAAGGGTCAAATTTAATGGTGATGCTAGGTGAGAGAGGATTGGCTTGAGGCCATCAAAATAGATACTGAACGAGGAACTCACCAAAACGGACACGTTCTGTTCCATTTCTGAGCTGCTGCCCCCGGTCACAAAATTCAGGATTAAGAGGAGTTTACTGAACAACAGGTCACCGCTCGGGGCTGTCCCCGCCCAGGCCCGGGCTGTTCGCAGGCACACTCCGCAGTCCTCAATCCCACTGCGTGTCAGAACCACACAGCGCCCAGCCCTCACCCCGAAAGCGCCCGGCGCCCCCGGGCCAGGGAACAGTGGTTTCGGGAAGGGGCCCAATGAGTGCTTTGCGTGGCCGGCAATCCCGTGTCACTATTGTAACGAGTTCTGTGGGATTCTGGGACATCACCTCCAGGTCTGAATGGGGACACTGAGGCTCGCTCGAGAGGTGGAGACTCTTGGCCAGGAAGAGGCAGAAGCGGGAGAAAGAGCCGCTCTCGGGAGGTGGCCCTCCAGCGCCCTGCGGGGGTTCACTCGGCCCCCTCTGATGTGTGGGGCCCAGTACGAGAAAAAGCACAGCCTCACGTCAAAAAGATAAAGCCCCGATGTGACCCTTGCGCGAGAAATCTCTTTCTACAACAGCCCGCAGTCGCATTCTGATGGACGCTTCCCTCCAGAGAGGCACCTGCTGAGACCTCCCGCGGTTTCTGAACATGGCGTTGGCGGGTAACGAGGGCACCACGGGAGAGTCGTGGTTGGAGGTTGGGGTCTCTGAGTCAGAGTGGGGTGGGGGCCGTCCCTTTCCACAGGGACGTCGGGGCAGAGGAAGGCCCAGGTGTCCAGAGGGACCTCGCAAGACGGAGAAAGGGCCACCGCGCCCGGGCTCGGTCCTGCCCGCCACGCGGTGATGTCGTGTCCCGGCCAGAATTCCAAAAACAGGTGGGAGTGTTTCCATCCTCATCGTTCATGCGGATGTGAGTCCTTCCTCTCAGTGCAGAAGCGCCTTTGTCTCCTGGTAGGTGTTCTCTTTTGTCGGTTATTTTTAAAAGCCGGCGTTCGCCCCGAGACACAGAGACTCTCCCAGGAGCCACACTGAGCGAGCGGGGACACATTGCGCTCAAACCACAAACACCCCGACAGGAAAGACATTGATCCCAGCCCTCAAAGCAATGGTACAAAAAACAAACACAGACGCCCCCACTCCCTGTCCCGAGTGGCTGCCAGACGCGGGGGTCAAGGTCCGCGGGCTTGCGGGCCGGGCTCTCAGGGTGGCGCGATTGTGCCTGAGGTCTGTATTGTCCAAACTCTGGCCCCGACTTGAAAGCCCAAAGACTCCTTCCTGTGCTTTCATGTTACTTTATCATTTTCTGCAATACAAATGTGTGAGAAGCGCCAGTTCCCGGCACACGGCG